AAGCGCTGTTCTGGGTGGGTGAAGCGCAGGGAACAAGGGCTGTGCTGGGTGGTGGCGGACGCAAGCGGGCAGTGCCACTGGGACCTTTGGTGGAGCCCCCTATGGGGCCACGAAACGTGCGAGGGGTGTGCCAGAATGGGGTGTGGAACCGCATGCCAGCGCAGCCACTGGGGCCTTCGGTGGAGCTCCCTATGGAGCCACGAAACGTGTGAAGGGCGTGCCGAAAAAAAGGGGGTGGAACCGCATGCGAGCGCAGCCACTGGGGCCTTCGGTGGAGCTCCCTATGGGGCCACGAAACGTGTGAGGGGTGTGCCAGAATGGGGGGTGGAACCGCATGCGGGCGCAGCCACTGGGGCCTTCGGTGGAGCTCCCTATGGGGCCACGAAACGTGTGAGGGGTGTGCCAGAATGGGGGGTGGAACCGCATGCGGGCGCAGCCACTGGGGCCTTCGGTGGAGCTCCCTATGGGGCCACGAAACGTGTGAGGGGTGTGCCAGAATGGGGGGTGGAACCGCATGCGGGCGCAGCCACTGGGGCCTTCGGTGGAGCTCCCTATGGGGCCACGAAACGTGTGAGGGGTGTGCCAGAATGGGGGGTGGAACCGCATGCGGGCGCAGCCACTGGGGCCTTCGGTGGAGCTCCCTATGGGGCCACGAAACGTGTGAGGGGTGTGCCAGAATGGGGGGTGGAACCGCATGCGGGCGCAGCCACTGGGGCCTTCGGTGGAGCTCCCTATGGGGCCACGAAACGTGTGAGGGGTGTGCCAGAATGGGGGGTGGAACCGCATGCGGGCGCAGCCACTGGGGCCTTCGGTGGAGCTCCCTATGGGGCCACGAAGCGTGTGAGGGGTGTGCCAGAATGGGGGGTGGAACCGCATGCGGGCGCAGCCACTGGGGCCTTCGGTGGAGCTCCCTATGGGGCACGAAGGTGTGAGGGGTGTGCCGAATGGGGTGGAACCGCATGCGGGCGCAGCCACTGGGGCCTTCGGTGGAGCTCCCTATGGGGCCACGAAACGTGTGAGGGGGTGTGCCAGAATGGGGTGGTGGAACCGCATGCGGGCGCAGCCACTGGGGCCTTCGGTGGAGCTCCCTATGGGGCCACGAAGCGTGTGAGGGGTGTGCCAGAATTGGGTGTGGAACCGCATGCGGGCGCAGCCACTGGGGCCTTCGGTGGAGCTCCCTATGGGGCCACGAAACGTGTGAGGGGTGTGCCAGAATGGGGGGTGGAACCGCATGCGGGCGCAGCCACTCGGTGGGCCTTCGGTGGAGGGGTGTGCCTCCGCATACTGGGGCCTTCACGAAACGTGTGAGGGGTGTGCCAGAAAGGGTGTGCCAATGGGGGGTGAACCGCATGCGGGCGCAGCCACTGGGGCCTTCGGTGGAGCTCCCTATGGGGCCACGAAACGTGTGAGGGAGTGTGCCAGAATGGGGGGTGGAACCGCATGCGGGCGCAGCCACTGGGGCCTTCGGTGGAGCTCCCTATGGGGCCACGAAACGTGTGAGGGGTGTGCCAGAATGGGGGGTGGAACCGCATGCGGGCGCAGCCACTGGGGCCTTCGGTGGAGCTCCCTATGGGGCCACGAAGCGTGTGAGGGGTGTGCCAGAATGGGTGTGGGGGGGGAGGAGGGGGGAGGAAGGAGAGGAGGAGGAAGGAGGAGGAGGAACGCGGGGCATCGTCTCTTCAAAACGAGGACCCAACACCACAGGATGGCTGGGAATAATAATAATACGAATAACAATAATAAGACGACGACGAATACTAATAATAATACTAATAATCATAATAAGAATAATACGAGGGATACGCATACTCATAAGACGAAGACGCATAATAATGATAATAATACTGATAAGGAGAATAATAAGAAGACGCATAAGAACACGAATACGAATACTACGATTAATACTAGTAATAAGAATAATAATAATACTACGACTACTAGTAAGAATAATACGAATAAGAATCACAACACTAACAACACGAATAATAATAATACGAAGGCTACTAATAATACTACGAAGAAGAACAATATGAATACTACGACGAATAATACTACGAATACGAATAATAATACGAATAATACTGATAATACTAACTAATACTAGTAAGACTAGTAACAAGAAGAACACTAAGACGACTAACAATACTAATCCCAATACTATAATCAGACGGAGAAGACCAATCTAATAACAATGATAAGAACACTAATAATACGAATAAGAATAATGCTACTACTAAGACTGATAAGAACACTAAGAAGACGAATGCGACGACTAATAATAACAATAACAATAACAATAACAATACTACTACTACTACTACTACTATTACTACTACTACTACTACTACTACTACTACTACTACTACTACTACCTACTACTACTACGACTACTAATATTAATAATACTACTAATACTGATGATGATTATAATAACACTACCAATAATCATAATAATATTATTAGTACTATTAATACTACTACTACTACTACTAATGATACAACTACTACTACTAATAATAATACTAATATTAACAATGCTACTAACAATAATACTACTACTACTAATAATAATAGTAATAATACTATTATTAATAATAAGATTACTAATCATAATAACAATAATAATCATGATAATATTATTAATACTATTACTAATAATAATAGCAATACTAATACCAATAGTAATAGTAATAATAATAACCATCATACTAATACTAGAATAATACTAAGAAGAATAATACTAATACGAAGAAGAAGAGGAGGAGCAGGAGGAGGAGGAGGAGCAGGAGGAGGAGGAGGAGGAGGAGCAGGAGGGAGAGGAGGAGGAGAGGAGGAGGAGGAGGGAGGAGGAAAAGGAGACGGAGGAGGAGGCGGAGGAGGAGGAGGAGGAGGAGGAGGAGGAGGAAGAAGAGGAGGAGGAGGAGGAGGAGGAGGAGGAGGAATGATGATGATGATGATGATGATGATGATGATGATGATGATGAGGAGGAGGGAGGAGGAGTTGGAACGAGGAGGTGAGGAGGAGGGTGAGGAAGAGGAGGAGGAGAAGAGAGGAGGAGGAGGGAGCGGAGGGGAGAGAGGAGGAGGAGGAGGAGGAGGAGGAGGAGGAGGAGGAGGAGGAGGAGGTGGAGCAGGAGCAGGAGCAGGAGCAGGAGGAGGAGGAGGAGGAGGAGGAGGAGGAGGAGGAGGAACCGGGCCATGTTGGGGCCTTTATTGGGGGCTGGGTTTAAGGCCTTTAGCGCTGTCTCAGGTCGTCTTGGCGCTCCCAGGGCCCACTTGGATTCCTTCTGGGGTCCTTTAGGGCCCTCATTGCGTCATCTTGGGAGGGCCGCGATCAAAGACGGTGGCCCTGAATTACGGCCCCCCCCCATCGGGGCCCGAAACATCGCCGCCTCCTGGGGCTCTCCTGGGACGCTTTTGAGAGCCTGTGGACCCGCCTTGCAGCCCATCTGGGCCCCTCTTGTGGCTTGTGGCTCTCTTTGGCGATCTTGGGGTCATCTTGTGGCCTGACAAGCCCACGGGAATCGAAAAGGCGTGGATGCCAATACCATTGAAACACCCCAGGTTCTTTTACGGGTACCGTCTTGATGCCTTTTGGAGGCATGTTGGTGGCTATATAGAGTCATCTTGAACCAGCTTGAATGTCATCTCGAGGTGCCAACCCTTTTCAACAGTATGGGAGGGGCAAACAATTTGTGCAGGAGCGTGTAACCAATTGGCACTGCCCCTTTGGAGCTCGGAACATGCTCTTTTGAATTGCTGTTGGGACGGTATCGGGGCGCTCTTGGCTGCCTTCCGGGCCCTCTTGTAGCCCCTCGTGGGGCCCTTTTGGGTAATCTTGGATCCATCTTGAGGCACCTGATGCCCGTCGGAAGCGAAAAGACGACACGGCGCTGCACGTATGTCACATACACACAAAGGGACACTAGCCAGTGTTTGAATGATCTTTGGCCTCTCGGAGGCACCCTGGAGATGCGCCGTGGTCATTTCGAGCCGTCTTGGGGGCGTCTTGGGGCTTCTTGGAGACACGTTCGATGCTGTTTGAGCCATCTTGCGCTAGCTCGTGCCACCTTGAGCCAGTCTTTGGGCTATCTAGAGGCATCCCAGAGCTATCTTGGACCATCTTGGATGCCCTAACCCCTCGCGGCCTCTTCTTACCCCCCCAGGGGAGGGGGTAGGGCGAGGGGGTGCTGTTTCGAATGGAAACGCCACAACCTGTCTCGCTCAGTCCCACCCGCCCTCCTGCCATGTAAGTAGCACCCGAGACTGAGCTTGGCAAAGGTCACCATCGGATGGGCAGCCATCGGGGCAGATACAGACGCTAAACGCGTGACTCTCGCAAGGTGCGCCATGCTTGTCAGGTGCGCCAGGTGACAGGCTCGCCTGATGCGGCAGATGCGGCACGGGCGCCAAGTGTGCCACATGCTCCAGCCGCGCCAGGTGCGCCCCGCGCGCAGTGAACGGCGGCCACGGGTGCGCCACGCGCCCCGAGCCAGGCGGCCAGAGGTGCGCCAGTGCACGCGGCAGCACCCATCTGGCAACATGTTGAAATACCACCATCCCCGTCAAACACCGCTCCGAGGTGGCGGCGGAGTGGCCAGCATGGTGTATGGTGTGTGTACCCGTCAGCATTGGGCTTTGACACGGAGAGTAGGCGAGCGCGCAGGAGACATACATATATATACATATATATATATATATATACACCGACTCCCCCGCCAACACAAGTAACAAAGCGGTGGAGATTGATTGCGGTGTGCCCGCTCATGTTCAAGGATTAGCTGCCACGTGCAGTTTGTATTCTTTTTGACAGGGATGGTGTGGAGCGTGCCTGGATTCTTCCTCGTCGGTGGCCAGTCGAGTTGGGGAGGGAGTGCTTATCTCTAATATTGAACAGGGTAAACCCCTCACCGAAAGGTAATAATGGGGTTTGATGATGAGGCGACCTGAACCACCGAAGCCCAACGGGCTGGGGGAATCATCTGAGCCCTCGAGAGCAGGTGCTGTCGGCATTCGTCCGCTTCTACATCGCCGCAGAGAAGTTCGACCGGGCCTGCGACATCTACGAGCAGGCCCTTTTTTGCCTCCGCAAGTCCCTCGTCTCATTCCCCACTCTTCCTTCCTCACTCTTGTTTTCTAACTCTCCCTCTCTATCTCTCTCTCTCCCTCTCCCTCTCTCTCGTGCGTTCTCACTCTCGACCTCATTCCATTTCTCTCTCTCTCTATATATATCCCCATCTCTCTCCATCTCTCTCTCTCTCTTTTGGGGTCTCTCTCTCTCTCTCTTTTTTTTTAGTTTTTTTTTTTGTTCTCTCTCTCTCTCTCTATATATATATATCTGTATCTCCACGTGTCCCTGTCTCCATCTCTCAGTCCCTTGGTCTCGGAGTGTGTCTGGCCCCCTCAATGTCCGACTCCTCTCTCTCTCTCTGTCTCTGTTTACGTCTCCGTCTCCGTCTCCGTCTCCGTCTCCGCCTCTTCCCCTCTCTCTCTCATTCCACCTCTCTCTGCACATCAGCATGCACTGCATAAAATGCACAGGAGATCCAGACCCCTGGCCCGGGGCCCTGCGCTGGCCCCCCCCCTGCTTGTACGTGGCTGGTCCCGCCCGCCCCCGCGCGCGCGCACAGGCGTGCCAGGGCGGGGACAAGCTATCCCTCGACTCGCGCTCCGAGAGGAGCACGGGCGCGCGTCGCCGTCGCCGTCGTCGTCGCCGTCTTCGTCGTGGTCGCTGCTTCGGTGTCGTCGCCGCCGCCGTTGCTGGCGTTGCCGTCGTCGGCGTTGCCGTCGTCGTCGTCGCCGCCGCTGCTGCCGCCGCCGCCGCCGTTTCGTGGAAGAGGGTCGGGCTCTTTTGGGCCTCAGTGGGCCTCTCCAGGGCCTCTTGGGAGGAGGAGGTGGAGGAGGAGGAGGAGGAGGAGGAGGAGGAGGAGGAGGCAGGAGCATCGAGGATCCGTCCGACGGGCGAACAGACCACGGCGACAGGACGACCTCGTCGCCACCCACACGCCCGCCCATTGAGGGAGTGTGGGAGACGACTGGACCGTCCAGGGCGCGGCTCCCAAGGGCCGCGGCCGCGCGGCTCCCAAGCGCCGCGATAGACCTCAGATGATGTCGACGTGGACGCCCTCCGCGACGAGGCCGCCGCCGAGGACGAAGTGGGGCGTGCCGAAGCCGAACCCCACGATGCACGAGGGGGTGGGGAGACGGCTCCCGACCGTGAGCGGTCAAGGTCCCATCCGCCTCCCCGGGCCGCCCCCCCGTGCAGCCCTGGAACGCTGGCTGGCGGCGCAGCGCTCCCCGCTCCCGCGCCATGCGGGTGAGGTCCGTCACGGCCTCCATCAGGTTCACGGGGTCGCTGGGCGGCTCGATCGTCGCCGCGCGCACGGAGCCGCAGGCGCGCGAGAGCTCGCCGAGGCACTCGCGGAGCTCCGCGAGCTGCGCCTCCGACCGGGCCGAGGGCGCACGCACCGCCGCGCCAGGAGCCGCCTCCGCCACGGGCGCCACAGGCTCCGGCGGGGCAGCCGCCGTCGCGACGGCGTCCCGAGGGGCCACCCGCCGCACGGCGTCGGCCCACTCGTCATCCAGGTCATCCGCACCGTCGGCACCAGCAGCAACATGCGCGCCTCCCACCGCCACCGCGGCAGCAGGCATCGGCCATGGCTACGACCTCCACCTCCATGCCGTCGAGGGCGTCAGGCGCGCCAGCGCCTGGCGCCATGCGCGCCGCCCTCCGCTGGCGCCGCCGCCGCCGCCTCGCGGAACGCGCCGCGGGGTCGGCGGCCGCAGCAGCAGGGCGGCCAGGAAGCACCTCATCGCCTCCAGCAACAGGCGCCGCCGCGGCCTGCTCCACGCGGACCCGCAGCGCGAAGAGCGCAGCGGACACCGCGGAGCGCGCCACAGCCGCAGCCGTGCGCCTCGGCATGCCAGCAGCACCGCGCACCGCCGCCTCGACCAGGGCAGCAGCGGCGGCGTCCGTAGCCCGAGCTCCTCTAGCACCTCGCGCGGCGGCCATCGCAGGGACGACCGAGGCAAGGGGCCTGCGAACGCTTGAGCCAGAATGAGGAGGAGGAGGAGGAGGAGGAGGAGGACGAGGAGGAGGAGGAGGAGGAGGAGGAGGAGGAGGAGGAGAAGGAGGGAGGAGGAGGGAGGAGGATGAGGAGGGAGGAGGAGGAGGAGGAGGAGGAGGAGGAGGAGGAGGAGGAGGAGGAGGAGGAGGAGGAGGAGGGAGGAGGAGGAGGCCCTCTGGGCCTCTCCCGGGCCTCTCCAGGGCCTCCAGGGCTCCTGTGGGCCTCTCCAGGCCCTCGCGCGTGCGCGGAGGCGCCGGGGCGGCCCCGGGGCTGGCCCTTGCGAGACCTTTCTCTGTCTCTCTCTCTCTCTCTTGATTGTTGTCTTGAACAGTTGCAGATTAAGTCGGGCAGGTCCCCCTACAGGAGCAAAATAGTAAAGAATAGTCTGGGGACGATGTTTCGATTAGGTCTGACCATTGTCCAGTATTTTGGATTCTTTTTCATTTTTCGTACAAAATCCGCCTCTAGGAGTACATGCCCGACCTAAAATTATGAATGCTATTCCCCTCATTCCCCTGAGGCGAGAAGATTTGTTTTACGCTTTTTGCGCTGATGCTGTGCGACCGCCTAGAAGTGCTATCATCCCGCAGCAGTCACCGGACCAAGCAGCGTGCAGGAAAGGGTACCACATGCTGTCGGTCACCTTGCTGGTGGAGGGTTGCGCGGAGTGGACCCAGGATCTATGGCTTGGATTGATGGATTTCGAGAAGGCGTTCGATACGGTTGAACTCGCGAATTTTGGGGAAGTTCCTCGTATTTTGCATGTTGGTGAAGGGTATGTTGCGCTTCCTCAGAAGCTGTACAAGCATCAAGCTGCATCGGTCTCTGCGGGGGGTACATTGTGGAGTCAAACAGGGCGATCATACCTGCGCGTTTTTTTCATAACCAGGATTGGAATTTGTTTCGCAACTTCAGAAACGTGGTGTAATAGCTTCAACAAGCGGAGAAGAGGATGTTATTACGGATTGATGGTGGTGGAAACGCTGGGAGACCCTTTAACGACCTTCTGGTTCGCAGACGATGTTTTATTGATCGCCGTTGACAAAGCGGACCTTTCCCACATGTTGGCGGAACTGATGCAACAAAGGCAGCTGACGTTGGGTTTGATGTGCGTTCGCGGGAGACGAAGGTACTCACGTGATCCAGCTTGGGTTTGCCCTCCTGCATCATAACTGAAGGCGCTGGCGTAGATGTTGTCCCACCAGCGAAGTGCGATTTCGAGTCCTCTAACAGGATAATGGAGCATGGCGCTGTTTTGCGAAATTCTTGGACGTGATTTGTTCGAGTTTCTACATGCTTTGGTCCAGATTACTTTTTGAAGCTGTGGACACGCCGACCGCGATGTACAGATGCGAGTGCTGGACACCCAACGTGCGTAGTCGTCGCATGCTGCGCGCGACCTGGCGGAAGATGGTGCGGAAGATATTGCGCACCCCGAGAGGCGTCGAAAACCTGTGGGTAGATTGCGTGCGGCGGGCAACGATGCTCGTGGAGGCAAGACGCGCCCACTGGGGTTCCCGAAATTGGGCCATCGCGCATCCTAGAAAAAATATGAATTTTGCCGTTATGGCGGCGCACGGCAGCGCAGAGAAGCGGACTCGCCGTCTCCTGCGTTTGCGCCCATGGCGTGGCTGGTTGGCCGCACGTCGACCAGGTAGACCGCGTGTTCGATGCGGGTATGCAGTGAATCACGTCCTTTGATATGTAGCTGTTTCTTCCCTCTCCCTCGTCCTCTTTTTCCCCTCCCCCCTCCCGTCTCTCCATCTTGCCCTGCTTCGCCCAACAGTTGTCTCACTTACTTTTCTGTCGCTGTCACGAACGAGGGCCCCCGCGCACGATCGTCAGGCTGTTCGGTTGCACAGTTCCAGTTGTCGCCGTTTTCTGTGATCTCCTGTGTGCTTTTCCGGGAGCTGGCACGCAGGCCGCTCGAATAAGAATCCCTTCTCCCCCCTGATCCTGTGTGGAATATGTCCGGCCGCCAGGATCTCAAGCGATGTATTATCCTATGTTTCTTTACGCTCCGATTGGTTTCGATGTTTCAACTTAGCTTGATCTCTCCGTCTCTTTCTGTCTCTCAGATTTCGGGTGACGCCAGGAGGATAACCAAGCATACAGGACCGGTCTTCGAGCGGTGGTGTACGGATCCCCCCGTTCATTTTGGGAGCAGACCTCGGCACCTTGGCACTGGATGCTCTTCTTCGTCCTTGGCTGGATGGTGGCGCTGTGCACGTCCAAATCCACGTCAGAGAACTAGGCGAAAAGAGGCCCGGGGTGGTTTGGTAAAAGCAGTGCTTGCCAGCGATGCCCCCCCAGTGAGCTGTTGCACCCTGGGGGTGCGAGCTGTGTGGTGCAATCCTTGTGGTGCAAATTATGCTTGCTGCAGGCAGTGTGGTGCAGGCTATGCGGTGTAACCAGTGGTGCAAACTGCGTGTGGTGCAAACTATGCGTGGTGCAACCGAGGTGGTATGCGCTATGTTGTGAGAGCGATGTGGACTAAGGCTGTATGGTGTAAGCTGTAGGGTGGAAGCACCGTTGTGTCAACTATGCGGTGCAGGTTGCGTGTTTTAAACAGCACCGGGCGCCCACAGTCGCCAACCAGGCGAATCCCCGGCAAACCCAGCCAGTGCACGGGGCGCCAACGAGCCGCCCTCTTGTGCGAAGCCTCAGCGGGCCCAGCCAGCGCACGAGGCGCCCACGAGTCGCCCACGGTGGCCCGCCAGGCGAACATCTGGCAGACCCAGCCAGCCAACGGGGCTTCTACGGACCGCCCAGTAGGCGAAACCTCAGCAGACCGAGCCAGCGCACGGGGCGCCCACGAGGCGCCCACGGCGGCACGCCAGGCGTCGAATGGGGGATCGACTACAGAATTGACTCATCCTGACATGGATTTCTCCGCCGAGTCTGCGCAAAATGCGTAGGATGCTCCGTAGATGAACGGCGCATCCTGCGCATTTCATGTAGATTCGACGGAGCGTCAATTTTGGGGTGACTGGGTTGCGTACCGTGGAAACCCATGCAAAGACACACCCTGCTTGCCTCCAGGGTGCCCCGGATTTCTTAGGTCTCGATGGTTTTGCTGTGGGAAGCGTGGCTTTCCCCACACCCGAAGTCCATGCACGTCTCTTGGGGTCTCCAGGCTGGGTTTCTTGTGGATGGCTTCTTGTGGTCGGGCTCCTACTGTTAAGTCGGGCCTGTCCCTCCACGGGAGGAAAATCCAAAAATAGTTTAAAAAATAGTCTGGGAACGATTTGTCGATTACTTGCGGACCGTTTTGGGATTGTTTTTGGACTCTTTTTTATTCTTCGTCCAGAATCCGCCTGTAGGGGGAAATGCCCGACCCAATCCCGCTGCCGCCGGTGCCCTACTCCACGGCGAGGCCTCGACCCGCCCACCCGGCGACGACGAGCGGCGACGGGCGGCGCGACGGAGCCAACGCGACGGCGAGCCGGCGCGCGCGGCGCCACAGAGGGCGCGGCCGCGAGCGGCGGCCACGAGCGGCGAGGAGCGGGTATAGCCAGGACCCCGGGTAAGGGGACGCGGTTAGTGGTAGGGCCTTTGGGGCCCCTCAGTTGGCCAGATTCACTAAACCAGGTGTGCCGCAGCTGGTGTTCTTCGGGTGACGGCGGTTCCGGTTGGTGGAAATGGGACGGGGGGGCGCCCCCGGTGTAAATCACTAAACCAGGTTCTACTAAACCCAGTTCTGCCAACGCCCGAGAGGAGCCCGGCACGGGCGGCCACGGTCGGAAGCTGGAACATACGCATTACCAGTGGCGGGCTGTTGTTCAAATCCCACGCTCTTTGAAGGGTCGGGGGCGACGACGGGGAGGTGTGGTGTGTTTTTTTTTCCTTGTTTGTCCGAGGGAAGCAACGAAAAATGTATACACCATAATCCCGTATACACCAGGATCCGCGTTCTTCTTCGAATTTCAGCGCAGTGACGGAAGCAGCGTCGGTGTATAGAGTTCGTCTCCCTACACGGGCCGCGTCCCCCGACGCCCAGCACTCGGGCGGCGAGAAGTAACCCGAGGGAGAGGCGCGAGCCAGGCCCTGAGATCCGACGCACCGAAAAAGTTGGAGCAGGCGGTTTTTGATCGTTGTCGGCCTCTGGGGCCTTCGCTGGGCCTCGGGAGCGTCAAAAAGCGACTCGGGAAGAGAAAACTGGCCCCAGGGAAGTGGTCCGGACCTCCAGGGCCCACGCATCGGACAGATTTTGGAGCAGCCGGAGGTTTGGGGGGGTGGTCCCCTGGTGGGGTGGCCGCCCCCCCTCTCGCTCGAGACGTCCCCTGGCCCCCCAGTCCGGGGAGGCACCCTCCAGAGTCGCCAGAGCTCATCGGAGAAGGAGAACAGCGTACACATAAGCTTGTGGCGCTCCGCGCGGATTTCTTGGATCTGCGTTGGAGCGCCCGGGCGGCGCGGAGCGCGCCAGGGAGGGGGTCCAGCTCAGATCCAAGACGTCCGCGCGGACTGCCAAAAGTTTCTGTTTATGCGCTTGTCGTTCCTCGAACTTGGGCGACAAAAAACACGGGGTCCAACTGCGCCGACATTGGCGTGTAAGCTCCCCGCGTAAGGTCGCGCATGAGCGCCCTCGCCTCCACTGTGGCGTGCATCGCCGGCGGCCCGCGTACGCCACCGCGTAAGGTCGCTCTGACAGCTCTCGTAAGGCCCGTTTTTTGATCGTCGCTCATTTAATTCTTTGAAGGACCGAAGCAAGACCCCTTAGTTCAACCACTGCGTGGGGCAGGGTTGCAGAAACATGAACTCTGGGCGAGGCCCGCGCGGATTTCTTGGCTCCGCGCTGGGCCACCTGGCGGTGCAGGAGGTGGCGCGCTCCGCGCGCCTGGGAGGGGGTCCAGCGCCGATCCACCAAACCACCCCAACCCAACCCGAAGGCCCAAATTTATCCTCGATTTCCAGTGGGGGGGGGGTCGGGTAACACTGAAAAAACACATGGAACCCGTACCCCCCCCAACCCGAAATTCGGGTCAAATTCGTGTCTTCGGGTTGGGTTGGGCTGGTCTGGTAGGTAGTCAGTCCAGCGCCGATCCAAGGAATCTGCGCAAGTTGCTGTTTACACAGTGCCCTATTTTCGGCGGCGCGCCGATGGGGGCTCGCTCGGGGCGGGGCTCGCTCGGGCCCGGGCCGGGCAGGTCGGCCCGGTGCGATGATGATTTTTGGAGGAGGAGGAGGAGGAGGAGGAGGAGGAGGAGGAGGAGGAGGAGGAGGAGGAGGAGGAGGAGGAGGAGGAGGAGGAGGAGGAGAGGAGGAGGAGGAGGAGGAGGGGGAGGAGGAGGAGGAGGAGTGGCTTTCCGGGGCCTCGGACGACTCCCCTCAGATCTGGGCGTCGCGATTTTTTCAACACCGGGCGTTTTCGCCCGGTTTCGGGCACTGGGATCCTCACAGGTCGATTCGGTTAGAGAAAAAAACAAGATGGTGTCCAGGGCTCTGGTCCTGATTTTTCGTGATGTTGCGACTTTTTCGCAACGTCAGATCTCAGGGTCTGTTGAGCTCGCTCCCGACGGGCGCTCTGGACCAGGGGTCTCCAGGCCTCCCAAAGTGGGGACGGAGTAGGTGGGGTCGGAGGTTCTGAGGGTCGGGCCGCATCGTCGATGCATTGACGACTTGGCTCGAGGTGTCAGCCCAGATCTCTCCATGCCAACGGGCGCCGATGCATCGGCGATGCATCGGCGATGCGGCGCGATCCTCCGACCCCATCTACTCGGACCTTATCTGGGAGGCCTCCAAGGGGATCGTCTCTGCACCGTCTCTGCCGTTTTTTACTGGGCCCCGCCCGTGGAAGGATCCTTTCTGGGTATGCCTTCGACAGTTCTCTAGAAGCTGGGACCATGCTCATCCTGGGCGTTTGAAGTGCTCTGTTCCCATGCTTGTCAAGAGCGGGCAGCGGAAAGGGACCCCTGCATGCACTGTGGGACCCGGACTCGGCGACCTCTCGGGCTGCTGCCGCTCGTCCCGCCGATGCCCGTTGTGGCGCGTGCCGCGGGCTTCCGCACTGCGCCACACGGTGCAGAGCCACGACCCGACGCGCCCCTGCGCGCCAGCATCGGCTCGAGCCATGGGCAGCTCGGAGGCGCTCCGGGCCGCACGGGCCTGGGCTGTCACAAGGATCATGTCGGGCGTGGCCCCCCACAGGGGGATTTTGAACGAAAGATAAAACATACCCCCAAGATAGTCAAAAATAGTCCAAACATAGTCTGGGGACTATTTTTTAACCTTTTTTGGGGTATTTTATGACCTTTCGTCGAAAATCCCCCTGTAGGGGGACACGCCCGACGTAACACGAGGATGACCAGGCCCGAGTAGCCGGCAACACCACGGCCGGCCGCCATGGCACACGAGCTCCACCCGGGCGCCCACGTGCGGGTGGCGGGCCTGCGCGTCGACACGGACCTCAACGGCTGCGAGGGCGTGTGCCGCGCGTGTAGGGGGCCACACGCGAACCCTACCCCTACCCCCACGACTTCTGAGGGGGAGGGTGGGGTTCACTTCGCTCGGGAGCTCCCGAGCGAAGTGAACCCCACCCTCCCCCTCAGAAGTCGTGGGGGGTAGGGGTAGGGTTCGCGTGTGGCCCCCTAGTGTGGAACCCGCAGAGCGGCCGCTGGACGGTCCGCGTCGGAGACGGCGAGAGGAACCTCAAGCCAGACAACCTGGAGGTGGTCGCCTGCCTGTGCCCCGGCGCCGAGGTGAAGGTCGTCGGGCTGGTGGGCGCGGCGCACCTCAACGGATCGTCCGGAAGCTGTGAGAGCTGGCAGCAGGAGACCGGCCGCTGGATGGTCTGCCTGGGCGGGGGCGTCGTGAAGTCCATCAGGCCGGAGAACCTGTACCTCAAGCGGGGCGCCAAGAGGAGGAGGGCCGCTCCCCGCGAGGTCCGCGAGGTGCGGCTCCCGAAGGGCTGGGCTGGCCTCTCGTTCGGCTGTGGCGATGGCGGCCGCCTGACGGTGACAGAGGTGCCGAAGGCCTGCTTCTCCTCGGCCAATTTCGGAGCCGCCGCCGCGTCCCAGGTGTCCGACGTCGCGCCCGGCGACGAGGTGGTCTCCATCAACGGGGAGGCGCCCGGGCGCCTGATGGAGCGCATCGCCACTGCAGGGGACGAGCTGAACACCTGCGGCCGCGCGCACAGGCCGGGGTCCGTGGGGAAGCTCGACCCCGACCCGTGCATCTCGTGCGACGCCCTGCGGCGCCACCGCGGCCTGGGGCTCCACGTGGCTCTGCAGATGTGGATGCGGGCGGTGAAGCGCGACATGCCCATCGTCCTCGGCGTGGTGTCGGAGGCGCCCAGCGGCCCCGAGAGGGCGGTGCGCGGCTCGGGGTCGGTGGTGCAGGTGTCATCCGCCGCGGCGTGCCCTGCCAGCAAGAGGCTTGCCTTCGCGCCCGAGCTGAGCCGCTGAAGCCAGCGAGCCGGCCAAAAAACGGAGATCTCATGGCCCTCCTCCTCCTCCTCCTCCTCCTACTCCTCCTGCTCCTGCTCCTCCTCCTCCTCCTCCTCCTCCTCCTCCAGGGACAGCACCGAGGTGGGCCCAGCACTGCTGGTATGACGTCTTCGTGGTGGTGCCGCCGAGGCCCAACTTGCCTCCGAGGCGGCCAGGACCTGCTCACAGACAGAGCAGGCGACGCCTCCGCTGCTGCCGCCGCCACGGCCTGCCGCCACGGCCGGGGAGGCCGCCCCTTGCCAGGAGCCTCATGAGCGCCGCGATGCGGTGCGGCCGCGGCGTCCTCGCGCAGGGCTTCCTCGACAGAGGCCCGCCCTCCACGCGCGCTCGAGGCCGCCGGAGGCCCCTCGTCGGAGGCCGTCAGTCGGAGGTCTCGTCAGAGGCCTCTCTCGCACTCCGTGTTCGGCAACAGGGGGGCTCCATTCCTCAGCTCCACCCACGGCATCGGGAACGGGGCCCGTTCGGCTGCCCGCTCGGCGGCCGAACGGGCGCATACACTGAATGGGCTAGGGGAGGAGGAGGAGGAGGAGGAGGAGGAGGAGGAGGAGGAGGAGGAGGAGGAGGAGGAGGAGGAGGAGGAGGAGGAGGAGGAGGAGGAGGAGGAGAAGGAGGAGGAGAAGGAGGAGCAGGAGGAGCAGGAGCAGTAGCAGGAGCAGTAGCATGAGCAGGAAGAAGAGGAGGATTCATTATAGGAAGGCTAAGACTAAGGATAACACTACGAATACTACAACGTATCTTAATGCTAAGAATACTCAGAACGAGAATCATGCGATTCATTTTTGAAAGGATACTAATAGTAATCTTGTTCAATACTATTCAGAACAATTATAAGGCAGACACTGATAATAAGAACAGTATCAACTAATGTTAATAAGACGACAACGACAAACTCGACTGACACAGTTATTAATCTTACAACCAATGATACCACTTTTAATACTACTAGGAATAAGCAGAGTAATACTATTACGAATACAAATACCTAACACAACTACTAACAAGAAGAGGAGGAGGCAGATGAGGAGGAGGAGGAGTAGGAGGAGGAGGATGCTGAGGAGGAGGAGCAGGAGGAGCAGGCGTAGGAATGGGAGGAGGCGGAGGGCGGAGGAGTAGGAGACGGAGGAGGAGGAGGAGGAGGAGGAGAGGAGGAGGAGGAGGAGGAGGAGGAGGAGGAGGAGGAGGGAGGAGGAGGTTGAGGAGGGAGGAGGAGAGGAGAGGAGGGAGGAGGAGGAGCGGAGGAGAGGAGGAGGAGGAGGAGAGGAGGAGGAGGAGGAGGAGGAGACCAGAGGAGGAGAGGAGGAAGGAGGAGGAGGAGGAGGAGGAGGAATGAGGAGGAGGAGGAGGAGGAGGAGGAGGAGGAGGAGGAGAGGGAGGAGGAGGAGGGAGGAGGAGGAGGAGGAGGAGGAGAGGGAGGAGGAGAGGAGGAGGAGGAGGAGGAGGAGGAGGAGGTGGGAGGAGGAAGGAGGCAGGGGGAGGAGGGGGAGGAGGAGGAGGACTTTTTGGGCTTCGCGGCTGGGGGGGGGGGGGCGTGCGGGGCGCAACACAGGCCAGAGCTGACGCTCACGCCAGTGTGAACAGTGCTGGTGGGCCCGCAACCATTTCCTGGAAGACCCGCGCTGCCGACCCGCCCATCGTATCTGCCCACCCGCAGTTCCTTCATCAGCATCACCATCATCATCCACCTTGCCTCCCGCTCGCGCGGGCTGGACGACATACAGCCGTAGTAGGTGCACAGGGTTGTCGTGGCGCTCGCGCGACACAGGTCGGCGAGTGAAACAAAAAAATCCACCTTACCTTCCGCCCACATCCAGCTACTACGCAGGCGCAGGAGCAGGAGCGAAGGGGGGGGCAGTGGAGAGCTGGGGGAGGGGGAAGCCTAGGGGGGAAACGCTGGGCCCTCGACGCGAGTCGTTGCTCAGCTTCCGATCCCAGTCCCTTCATGGAATCCTTGCCCTGGTCCGCTGCCAATGCCTGGCACACGAAACGTGCAGCACGGGGATCGGCAGGAGGAGCACGATGAGCCAGAGGCCCTGCACCCACGGCCCGTCGAGCCAAGCCAAGGGTCCTTGCTCTTGTCCGTGAGCACGCCTTGGACTCTGGCTCGATGACGGGGATCAGCCCGGCAATGCTGGATTGGCGGAGGAAGGCCAGTATCAGCACCAACTTCAAGGGGATCTGCAACTCCAGAAGTATATGTCCAGGAGGGATGAGGATGAGGATGAGGATGAGGATGAGGATGAGGATGATGATGATGAGGAGGAGGAGGAGGAGGAGGAGGAGGAGGAGGAGGAGGAGGAGGAGGAGGGACGATCGAGACGAGATACGCGAGTAGGAGGATCGAGACGGAGGATTGGAGGGAGGAGGAGGAGGAGGAGGAGGAGGTGGAGGAGGAGGAGGAGGAGGAGGAGGGGGGAGGGTGAGGAGGAGGGAGGAGGAGGGAGGGGAGAAGGAGGAGGAGGAGGAGGATGAGGAGGAGCTTCTCGGATCGAGAGTGCTCGGAGAGGGACACCCCCGAGGGGGGGTCGGCCTCGCCGGGTCGGCGCACCGCGACGCGCGCCGGAGCGCCGCCGACGCTCTGTGGCTGTCTGCGGCGGGGGTCGGCGGCGGGGCTGTCGGCGGGGCTGGGGCCCCGTGGGCGCTTCATCGTGGAGCTCGGAGCGTGCTTGCTGCTGCTGCTGCTGCTGCTGCTGTTGCAAGTACCGAGTAGGGGATCGACTACAGAATCGATTTACCCCAGAATTGGTTTTCCCGTCGAATCTGTGAGAGATATGATGATGCTCCGCAGATCCACAGAAGGTTCTACGTGTTTTCCGCAGATTTCGACGGGGCAATCAATTCTGGGGTAAGTCGATGTGATCGTTTTCTTATTCATTGTTGTGCCGATCGGCGCGGGCCCTCGCCCCCTTCCCCCCCGTGGAGTAGATGTTGATTGTTTTTTGGCGCCCGTTTCGAGCAGGTGGAGTCACCCCCATAGGACGCAGTGGTGCAAACAGTCGCACTCAGCAGAGTGTCCAGAGCCAGACGCGCCCCCTCCCCCCCCCCTTCTGCTCAATGTCGAAGCGCCGAATCAGAAAACGCTCGGAGGTTGATAGACCTCCTACCCTGACACGTCGATTAGCGAATTGGCCGTTTTCGCTTCGCGAGAGGGCGTCGCGGCCGTCATTTTTGCGGGTCCAGGTCCGTCGGTTTCGGTCTCAGGCTGTTTTCACTGAAGGGAGGCTTACGAAAGGGAGGTTTGTCCACCGCCGAAAAACGGCCCACAATTCTTTCGTCGATCCCCTGCTCGAAATCACCGCCAGCACGGCTGCCGCCACGCGTGCTGCGTAGCCGCTGCTGCCCTCGAGGCGGACCCGGGGCGCTCTCGGAGCGTTCTCCGGAGCGCTCCGGCACGGCCGCGGCGCCCGACGTCTGTCGGGGGCGGCCAAGAGGGGGGTGATGGCCAGGGCGGGGTGGATATCATGGCGGGGGCCATGATATCTCCCCAGATTTCATGGCGCCTCTGCTTACCTCATTATGTCCGCGGCCCTCTTGGGCCGCGCACATTCCGCCAGTCGTGATTTGCGCCCCCCCGTCTCGGACGCCCCCCTCCTGGCCGCCCCCGGCATCTCCTCCAGAGCCGCCGAGTCTCAGAGGTCCCCGTTTCATCCTGGTCCGATATTGTCCTGGTCCTGGCTTCGTCCCATTCAGAGAGGGAAACGGCATGAGCATAAACTTTTGACGCTCCGCGCGGATTTCTTGGATCCGCGCTAGGCCCCCCAGCCTGGCGGCGCCTCCGGCGCCGCCCTTGGCGCGCTCCGAGTGCCAAGGAAGGGGTTCCAGCTCAGATCCAAGAAATCCACGCGGACCGCCAAAAGTTCATGTTTGTGCCGTTGTTTGTTCCTCTATCTCAGAGGTCCAAGTTTCATCCTGGTCCAATATTGTCCCAGCCTGGCTTCGTCTTACGCCCGCTCTTCCTTTCCTTCCTGCCCGCGCCGCCCAGCGCCGTCTGACATCGCGAAGCACGTCGCCATGATCCGCAACTGTGCGTCCGAAGGCCCTGCGCAGCGGTCACAGGAAGTGTACAGCCAGAGGTGGAGAACACGAGAAGGACCAGGGGGTGCAGCAGGATAAGGTAACTTCAAAATGGTCAGAACATCTCCTGGGCGCTCCAAGAGGGCCGTGGTAGATGGGGCCGGAGGATCACGTCGCACTGCTGACGTGTCGGCGATGCGGTGCGATCCAGACCCCGATATTTCCCATCTCGACGCCTCCGATGCAGCACCGCCGACGCGGGGTGATCGTTCGACCCCATTTTTGCTCTGGCCTCATTTTGGCGGCCACCAGTATCGCCATAACAGGATGCGCTGCAAGATACCTCAGGAGCACTGCATGCTACGACGGCGTTAACAGCGACGGCGACGGCGACTGCGAGGGCAAGGGCAAGGGTGACGACGGCGACGAGCTCGACGACGACGACGACGCATGACGACGACGACGGCGACGACGACGAACGACGAGGAAGGCGAAGGCGAAGACGACGACAAGGGAGACCGAAACGAAGAGACGAAGGCACAACGCAGGGATTTACGAGGGAGCGCGCGTTCTCGAGGCAACCTGAAGGGCGCCACGACGGTGTCGAGTCCCTGGCCACCAGTGCGGTGGACAGAGCTGAACAGCCGTGGTTGTACAACGCCGTGCTATGGACGACTGCGTTAGGAGTGCAGGACCTGCGTTTCGCGCGCGTGAGGACGGGTGGACCCGGGCGCCCGCTATCTGCATTCTGGCGATGCCATCGCCATGTCCACTCCTCCTCCTCCTCCTTCCCGTACTCATCCTCTCATGCTCCTCCTACTCCTCTACCTCCTCCCCTATCCTCCTCTACCTCCTGGCTCTTGGCTCTGACTCCGCCTTCTCCTTCCTCAGCCTCCTCAGCCTCATTCCTACCCTCTACTCACTAATCACCTATCACTACTCACTCTCACTACCTCCTCCCCCCTCCCCTCCGGAGGAGGATCGGCGTCTACGGTTCCCTGGCCACCCGGATCTCCTCGTGTCGTGGGAACACGAAGACGGAGGGTTTTTGGTAATTTTTTGGCCTCCAGCGGCCCTCACTGGGTCCCAGGACCGTCAAACATGGGCTCAATGCGAAGAGCCGGTCCTTGGAAGGGTGTTTCGGGGGTGGACAGAACCCCGAGCAGTGACACGTCGATTAGTGAATTGTCCGTTTTCGGTTCTCGAGAAGGCGCCGTGGCCGTTATTTTCCAGGCTTGCGCCTGGGCCTCAGGCCGTTTTCACTAAACCACGTTTTGCTAAAGGGGGGTCTGTCCATCCCCGAGTGTTTGGGCCAGCTAGGATCGGTGCATGTGCTTAGCTCTCCGTCTTCGGGGCGACGCGTTGGGCGGAGGGAGGTGGAGGTTTTCGGCTGCGTTCGGCGTTTTTCAATTTTCCTTTGCTTTTGTTGTTGTCGGCGGGTTTCGGATCTCATAGCTTTTTGCGGCAGCTGCGCCTCGTCGAGGGAGCCCCAAAGTCGTCCCGAGCGGCCGCCCAGGACTTTGACGTTCTGTTTTTCTCTTGGGCCTCTCTCGGATGCCATCCTGGCCTTGTCAAGGATGCGTGCGACCGTGGCCACGAGGGTAGGCAACCACGCGCGAATCCCTCCCCTGCGCGTCCTACAGCCCTCCTCGAAATCAAGCGCACATTTTTACCTAACAGCTTTTGCTGATAGGTTTCTAGTGGGGTCAAAAGAGAGCATCTGGACTCCACAGGGGGGTCTGGGCGGGTGCCGGGGAGGAGGGCCGGGAACAGAGCCGGGCTCGTTTTAAGCCAACAGTCACACACTTCGTGCTATCTTCGACCCTCCCAGAACTCCTATTCCCGGGCCACATTTTGAATATACCGGAGCCAAATGTAGGGCCACTTCGTGCTCTTCGACTTCCCAGAACTCCATTCCCGGGCCACATTTTGGATGCCCGGAGCCACCTGTAGGCCACTTCGTGCTCTTCGACTTCCCAGAACTCCATTCCCGGGCCACATTTTGGATGCCCGGAGCCAACTGTAGGCCACTTCGTGCTCTTCGACTTCCCAGAACTCCATTCCCGGGCCAAATTTTGGATGCCCGGAGCCAACTGTAGGCCACTTCGTGGTCTTCGAGTTCCCAGAACTCCATTCCTGGGCATGATTTTGAATGCCCGGAGCCAACTGTAGTCCACTTCGTGTTCTTCGAGTTTCCAGAATTCCATTCCCGGGCCACATTTTGAATGCTGAGGCAGGCTGAGGCTGAGGCTGAGGCAGGCTGAGGCTGAGGCAGGCTGAGGCTGAGGCCGAGGCTGAAGGCAGACTGAGGCTGAGGCTGAAGCAGGCTGATGCTGCGGCAGAGGCAGGCTGAGGCTGAGGCAGGCTGATGCTGAGGCAGGCTGAGGCTGAGGCTGAGGCTGATGCAGGCTGAGACCGAGGCAGGCTGAGGCTGAGGCCAAGGCTGAAGGCAGACTGAGGCTTTGGCTGAAGCAGGCTGAGGCTGAGGCTGAGGCTGAGGCTGAGGCAGGCTGAGGCTGAGGCTGAGGCAGGCTGATGCTGAGGCAGGCTGAGGCTGAGGCAGGCTGAGGCTGAGGCTGAGGGTGATGCAGGCTGAGGCTGAGGCAGGCTGAGGCGGAGGCCGAGGTTGAAGGCAGACTGAGGCTGAGGCTGAAGCAGGCTGAGGCTGAGGCTGAGGCAGGCTGAGGCTTAGGCTGAGGGTGAGGCTGGCTGATGCTGAGGCAGGCTGAGGCTGAGGCTGAGGCTGATGCAGGCTGAGGCTGAGGCAGGCTGAGGCTGAGGCCGAGGCTGAAGGCAGACTGAGGCTGAGGCTGAAGCAGGCTGAGGCTGAGGCTGAGGCAGGCTGAGGCTGAGGCAGTCTGAGGCTGAGGCTGAGGCAGGCTGAGGCTGAGGCTGTGACTGCGACTGCCGTTGCCACTGCGACTGTCATCGCGAATGCGACTACGACTGCGAGAACAGCAGAATTCTACAACTGGATTCTCATCCGAATCTTAAGGGGAATGCTTCCAGATATGCTCCTACACATCGCTGTTAGGTTGCTTTGCCGGGATAATTCATGCTGATCGACACGCGAAACGCGGCCCGCGGGGTCATACTTCTATGTTTACAGTCGCCAGTTTCGGCGTCGAAAGTTTGGGGTCCTGGGGCGCCGGCACGTCGCGGAAAAACTTGCGTTTGATTTCGAGGAGGGTTGTGCCGGCGCTCTGCTCTACTCTACTCCACTCCGCTCCGCTCCGCTCCGCTCTACTCTACTCTACTCTACTCTACTCTACTCTACTCTACTCTACTCTACTCCACTCTACTCCTCTTTACTATACTCTGCTCTACTCTACTCCACCCTGCTCTACTCTACTTCACTTTACTGAGCTCTACCCTACTCTACTCTCTACTCTACTCTACTCTACTCTACTCTACTCTACTCTACTCTACTCTACTCTACTCTACTCTACTCTACTCTACTCTACTCTACTCTACTCTAACTCTACTCTACTCTACTCTACTCTACTCTACTCTACTCTACTCTACTCTACTCTACTCTACTCTACTCTACTCTACTCTACTCTACTCTCCTCTCCTCTACTCTACTCTACTCTACTCTACTCCTAGTCTACTCTGCTCTACTATACTCCGCTATACTCTACTCTATTCTGTTATATTCTACTCCACTCTGCTCTATCCTACTCTACGCCGTTCTACTTTTTCCTCTCTCTACTCTCCTCTACTCTGCTCTTCTCTGCTCTGCTCCGCTCTGCTCTGCTCTGCTCTACTCTGCTCTGCTCTGCTCTACTCTTCTCTGCTCTGCGCTGCTCTGCTCTGCTCTACTCTAACTCTTTGGCTAGCCTACTCTACTCTACTCTTGTATTCTCCTCTCCTCTCCTTTCTCCTTTCTCCTCTCCTCTCCTCTCCTTTCCTCACCTCTCCTCTCCTCTCCTCTCCTCTCCGCTCCTCTCCTCAGTTCAACTCAACACAACACAACACAACACAACACAACATTACTCAACTTCTACTCTACTCCCACTCCTACTGCCCCTACTCCCACCTACTCCTACTCGTACTCGTGCACTACCCCCACTCATACTCATACTCGTACTATATCCATAGTAACACTCATAACCGTACTCATACTCATACTCATACCCATGCTCTCTTACTCTACTCTACTCTACTCTACTCTACTCTACTCTACTCTACTCTACTCTACTCTACTCTACTCTACTCTACTCTACTCTACTCTACTCTACTCTACTCTACTCTACTCTACTCTACTCTACTCTACTCTACTCTACTCTACTCTACTCTACTCTACTCTACTCTACTCTTCTCTACTCTACTCTACTCTACTCTACTCTACTCTACTCTACTCTACTCTGCTCTACTCTCGTATTATGCTTTCCTCGCCACTCCTCGCCACTCATCTCCTCTACTCTCCTCTCCTTTCCTCTCCTCTCCTCTCCTCTCCTCTCCTCTCCTCTGTTCAATTCAACTCAACACAACACAACACAACACAACAACACTCAACTCCTACTCTACTCCCACTCCTGGTGCCCCTACTTCTACCTACTCCTACTCCTACTCGTGCACTACCCCCGCTCATACTCATACTCGTAATCATACTCATGCTCAGAATCATACTCATACTCATACTCATACTCATACTCATACTCATACTCATACTCATACTCATACTCATACTGATACTCATATTCATACTCATACCCATTCCTTTACCCATAGTCATACGCATACTCATACTCGTACTCATACTCATACTCATACTCATATTCGTACTCATGTTCATACTCATACTCGTCTCTACTCTGCTCACTCTACTCTCCGTTGCTCTACTCATCTGTGCTTCTCTAATATACTCTGCCCTGCAAAACCCTATTCTGCTCTGCTCTATTCTATTCTGCCCTGCTTTGAGTTGTATTAGAGTTGGACGATTGTTTGGACGCCGTTGTAGTAGCGGCAGGATGCCATTCGAATGCTAGAAGAAGCCATGCGGATGTTCTGCTCTACTCTATTCCGATTTTCTCTACTCAACTCTATTATACCCGGCTCTCTTTTACCACCTATCCTACTCTACTGAACTCTGCCCTGCCCTGTCCTATTATACCCTACCCCACTCTACCCTGCCCTACCCTACCTTACCCTAGAGCACAGTGGGGTAGTACCCCATTGTGCTCTACTCTACCCTACGCTAACCAACTCTACTCTACCCTACTCTACTCTGCT